CGCGTTACTCTGCGCTGCGCAAAACTCCGCATTTGAACAGTCAATAACAAATACTTAAACTAATAACAAATCATACTTAAAGTCGCTGATTCAGAAGCGCCAGATTGTCATAGCAAAGTTGGAATTTACCTTTTTTTAATTTTTTTTGTAGAAATAGCCTTTGTGCACAGCCAGCCTTGTACTCTTCTAGGTTCAAAAAACTGTCGTCCATAAAATGCGTTGCACAAATTCGAACATCTGGGTTGTAATTTCCACATCGTGACGTAGACATGTGGTGGCGTGTTAGAACGAGCCGTTTTAGGTAGGCGTGGTTGACTCTTAACTTTTATAAAGAATATCTCTTTGGATTTGAGACTTTAGTCTTTGCAACTTTACAGATCTTCTTTATGGACCAAGAGCTTGTAACACTTCAAAGAGAAAGGAAAAATTGAAATCGCATCATATGACCCCTTTAACAATAACGTCATGAGTGGCCAGACTGTTGGTCAAGGGATCAAATTATGTATTTTTGCGCCCAGAATGACTGGCTAATTTTCAAAGACCAAATGCTTGGCTGCAAAATACGTAGTAACATTCCATCACTCACTGTCCAGAAAGAGCAGGGAGTGAGGCTGTCAAATGAGTGGAGAGAGTGTTAAATCAGTGCTTTTGGAACGGACAAGGCTAAACAGCAACAATCGCTGCGCAAGAAATTAAAGGAAGACAGAGATTCGAAATCCCACTCAAAAGCAACAGAGATTGTAAATGCCGCATCCCACGATGAAATGAACAGGCAATTGCAAGCCATGCGCAGGGCTGAACACGATACAACTTGCAGAGTGTTCCGAACAGCCTACAAAATAGGTAAACCATTCGCAGATATGCAAACTGATGTGATTTTGCAAGAGTTGAATGGCCTGAACATGGGCCGAGTTTTGCACTATTTGCACAAGACGTGTGCTAATATCATCGACCATATCGCAACAGAGATTGAAAAAAGATGGACGGTGACATAATTGCACACAGACGAAAATTATGAGTGTTGATTGACGAATCCACCACAATCAGTGGCAAGTCTGTGTTGGTTGTCTGTTTAAGATCAGCTGTTGCTGATGCAGAAGAACCAGACACATTTTTTTGACCTGCTGGAGTTGGATGGGACCACAGCAGATGTTATCACAAAGACATTGCTGTCATGCCTTCACAAATATGGATTTGATGACCACTTTTTGGGTAAGTGTTTTTTGGCCTTTGTTTGTGATGGAGCATCAGTTATGCTTGGCAGGAAAGCAGGGGTTGCTAGACAACTTCGTGCCAGATTCCCAGACTTGTTTGTATGGCACTGTTTAAATCATCGTCTAGAATTGGCAGTTGGGGATGTTCTCAAGGAAGTCAGTGGACTTAATCATTTTAAGATTTTCATTGATAAGCTGTACACTTTATATCACGTCTCACCCAAAAACAAAAGGGAATTGGATCAATATGCACGGAGTGTTGGGCAGCGTCTTCTCGTCATTGGCCGTGTCTTGTCAATTCGCTGAGTGGCTTCAAGCGAGAGGACAGTCAAAGCTGTTTGAGAGAACTAAACAGAATAGAGAACTACAGAGTGCTTCAGACTCACTTTTCCAATGCTGCTAGTGATGTAACCAGGGATTCTACAGAAAGAGCAAAATACAAGGGACTCCATGATGTTCTCACCTCTGTGTCCTTTGTGTTTAATCTGGGATTTATGTATGATGCCCTAACAGAACTCAGTGATTTCTCAAGGATGCTCCAAAAAAGAGACACTACTCTGCCTGAAGCAGAGAAGCTGCTGTTTCGACAGGTACGAGTGTTTGAGTCCATGGTTTCAACACCTGGCCCCCACACGCAAACTGTTCTTCAAGCTGAAATGAAGAAATCTTTCCAGAATGTACCCTTGCATGATAATCAAAAGATTGTGAGGATCAATGCAGGACAATTCTTTCGCAGCATGGCCGAAAACATGAAATCCAGGACAGCTACAACAACTTCCTCTCATGTCAGTACACACGAAAGCTTATCTCATAGAGGTGAAAGCAAACTGATGACAGACTTAAAGGTTCTTCAGCTGGACACTTGGCCTGAGGGAAATCTGGACATACAGCATGGTGAAACATCTTTTGATTTTTATTAAATTTTGAATAGAATTTTTATATATATTTTTTTAAGAATAAAATTCAATGTTTATGTTGTTTATGCTACCTTTTGTTTTATCCTCTGTCTTTTAGTAATGAGTATGTGTCAGTGCAATTGATTACAAGTGAAATAATTTACCATTTAATGTGATATTTTCACAAAATTCATCTACTTACTACTAAGTAATCTTCTCCCTCTGCCTCTGTCTCTTATAGCCTCTGCCTCACTAAGCCAAAGAGATGTGTTGATGAAACAGCTACCTGTGGCCATTCAGTTCAACCCCACAACATGATGGTGCCATTTCTGTTAGTATGAACACCTACTCATTATGAATAACAATGCTTGTCTTACCAGAAATTTCTAGTGCCTGCTGAATTTATGCTACCATCAAATATTAAATCAGATAATGCAACTTGTCTACTGTTTCTTTAGGAAAACCAATTACTGAATTCAATGCCACTTGTCACTACCAAGGCTGCATTAACCATTGGGCTAGGAAGGGCTGAAGCCCCGGGGCCCGAGCAAGAAGGGGGCCCATGATTGGCTGTGGAGTAGATTGACGGACATCGGTAGCGCCGATCGCCAAAACTCCACCACGCCCCTCACTTTTTAGCGCTATTATTTAGTGAAGTTTTTCCGTAAATTCCATGCATATCATCAGAGATTAAAACGTCACATTTGAATTTGGTTTTGAATGACCTGTGTGCGTATCTCCTATCAGGTAATCACTGCGTGTAATGTATTCACCTCTCTTCACTTCGTTCTGGTGTAATCTAGAAATGGTCATGCAAAGAACAATCTTCGATAAGTAAAAATGTCAACTATTAAAAAAAAAAAAAAATTGTGAGAGAGGGGAAAACATGAGTTAGTCACTAAAATCCACAGTTTTATTTTACTAAAACTGATGATGGAGTGGGAGTTGTGGAACAGCAAATGGACCGGACATATGGAGCAGTTAAAAACAGTGTCATCGTCCCCACAGATTTTAGGTTAGTTTGATTATTATCTTGATGGATGTATATTGCTTTTTGTGTTTGAACAAACTCTATAGGCTTAGTAGGCTATATTCGCTTATGGGTTGAGAAATTCCTTTTGCGCGTCATGATGTAACATGCATATCATCAGAGATTAAAATGTCACATTTGAATTTGGTTTTGAATGACCTGTGTGCGTATCTCCTATCAGGTAATCACTGCGTGTAATGTATTCACCTCTCTTCACTTCGTTCTGGTGTAATCTAGAAATGGTCATGCAAAGAACAATCTTCGATAAGTAAAAATGTCAACTATTAAAAAAAAAAAAAAATAGTGAGAGAGGGGAAAACATGAGTTAGTCACTAAAATCCACAGTTTTATTTTACTAAAACTGATGATGGAGTGGGAGTTGTGGAACAGCAAATGGACCGGACATATGGAGCAGTTAAAAACAGTGTCATCGTCCCCACAGATTTTAGGTTAGTTTGATTATTATCTTGATGGATGTATATTGCTTTTTGTGTTTGAACAAACTCTATAGGCTTAGTAGGCTATATTCGCTTATGGGTTGAGAAATTCCTTTTGCGCGTCATGATGTAAGCTTTTCATTTAAACGCATTTTAAGCATTGTGGTTTAAAGACTAATATAACTGTTCAGGGACATTAAGCAGTGGGGCCTTATTCATTTTGGCAAATGCGCGCGTTAAGACGGTTTCTGATTGGCGCGGAGCGTACTTGCTCATACAGTGCCTGACTAAACTAAGAGTTATTTTTCGCGCCTTGTGTTTAAACGTTCGAATCGTAAATGTCTCGTCATCAGCACAGTCATTTGTGTCTTAAATGAACGTTAATAGTTACAGATGCATGTATGTATATTGAATTTATACAGTGAAGACTATTCAGTCTATTTGCAGTCTAGTCTATTTAATATTTCTTATTCAGCTCTTTAAAAGATTCAGCCTGAAGGTTCATACACATCACAAAAAAACAGAGCACTCATAAGACTTATTAAAGATCTGTTTGGGACACTGTTACTGCAGTGTGTTCAAAATATTTTGAACATCAGTTATGATGATGATCTGATGACAGAAACATAACACTGTACATGACGCTTTGCGTTTGCGGTAGGTCTTAAAGAACACTGCACAAAATATGCATTGACAATCCTTCATTATATTTTGGCACTCGACTTCCTATCATTGGTAACTTTATATGTTATCTATGGTTTGGCACCCCACTGAGATCAGAGGGATTTTGTATGTTATGCTTGCTAGTGTGCATGTGGAAGAACAGAATTTTGGATGAGATGTTCTTAAGCGGCTTGAATCATTATAAGTGGGCTCAGTTTCAACAATGCCTCAAGCACAAATGTATATATTTATCTTATATATTGAGAGATTTCTAAGCACTTTTAACTAAGAGAACTCGGTTTTTTTAGAAAATCATCATGAACTTTAATTGTGCTAATGTTGAACTTAATACTTTTTGACCTATTTAAATCTAATTTTAAACCTATTTAAAATTGCTATGACACCTACTGACTGGACTAAGTAAATAAAGAAATGCTTAAAATGATCAATTAATGGTACATGACCACTTTATTTTCATGGAATGTAAATGGTCAAAATAATGGATTTGTAGGAAATATAGCTGAACTTGCTGTCAATTGAAGTTGTTCCTTATTAGCGTTAATACAGATGCGAAGTAAACAGTATTTTCATATTAATACTATGTTATGTGGGGTTTTGGCCAACCAAAGTCACATAAAGGTAATAGAACAAATGTGTATTGGAAATTGGACTCTAGACTTTCTGAGCAGAAGATTGTTATCTGCAATTGATCTCCTTCTAGCTGAATGTGCTGCCCTGTTTCCCTGCTTAGTTCTTTTTAGGACAAAAAATGAAATAAGCAACTGTTCAAATCGCAACGTCCAAATTGAAAATTCTTTTGTCATTTATGCAGAGACATGCACGGCACAGCCTCACTGGGTAAAGATGAGTCTTTCATTTGGATTCAGTTTGAGAGTGAGCATTTTTTTCAGTGCCTGAGCTGTTGCTTTTTTCAGCGTTTTTCAAGCGTTTTGCAGTCCTGAAGATGTTTTGTTTGCTCAGGGTTTGTTTGCTTCTGGTGTTTTTCCTGCTTATGAATATTCATGTCTCTAATTAGTCCATTTGTCCTTCGCTTATTTGCTCAAATGTCTCATTCTGTTTTAGATTTGATCAGACCTATTTGAATGCAATTATATTTTTTATAATTTATATTTACCCATAGCATGGATAGACTTGAGAAAGTTCAAATATGTATCATCTTTATAATACACTGTGAGATTTAGCAGAATAAACTTGAACAGAACAGCCTAATGTAGAATGTATTTCCCAAGGTGCAAAATAGTAGTATTGAGTCTTTTTAGTGAAATTCAAATCAATATCACATTGTTATTGAAAAGCTGATTTTATACATTTCCAAGAAAATGTCTGAAACATATCTCAAAACTTCTAAAAAGCATGCTTGAAATATTGACATGCTGGATGATTCATTTGACATCACTATCATTCATAATGCTTTCAGAATGTTGGGACAATTAAAACATCGCTGTCAGTGAAAAGTGACCTGTATATATCAGTTTCTTTCTTTTGAAATACAAAAGAAGATTTAAAAAAAAAAAAAGTTGGTTCTTGGTTCTTTTGTCCATACCCTGAAAGTCAATGGTGTCCAGTGTTATTTTATTGTATGGGCAAAAGCAGTTCTTCAAAATGAAGAAAGTCATACAGGTTCGGAATAACATGGAGGTGAGTAAATGATAACAGAATTATTCATTAATTTTTGGGCCAACTTGAAAGGTGTGATGAAATATTTTGTTTATCCTATAGAAAACAATTGAGGAAATAGTTTGATTATAAAAGCCAGGTGTGTTTTGAAGGCCTCATGACCCACATGACTGAAAGAAGTCACACGGGAATGAACAAGATTTTAGCTGCAGTTGCTCGTGGTTGGCATTTGTGGCAGTCTGCCACTCTTACAAGGTAGAACAATGTCAATGAAAGGAGTTAGAGAGTTTTGGGAGGAGAACACCTGCAATAAGATCATTGGTTGAAAACCATGTAAAAATGTGAGCTGCGAGTGAGATGGTCAGATGTTCTGCAGGCAGCTCGGCTTTGTTGGCTTATTGCAATAAAGTCTAATTTTGACTTCTGGAACTCTGCCTCCTGAGCATTATTTTGCATGACAGAGAAGACTGCAAGTTTTTCTTTTCAGTAAGATTGTTTTTATTTGTCCCATTAGCACCAGATGTTTTGCGCTCTATACTGACACCTATCATCTTGGATGAATGAAGTTTATTGACTAACTGCTACTGCATTATATTGAACTTGTTTTGTTTACCTGTGCTTTTTCTTGTTCCTTTTCATCTGTGTAGTTCTGTCCCCTGCAGTGGCTATGAGGGTATTTTCGTGCTTGCCTCTTTATGTCTCAAAAGACCTGTGTCAAAAGGCCATTGTGCCACTGTGGCTTGTTTGTTTCTTTGAATTGCTTGAATTGTGCTTCTTTGGACGTTTAATTTTTACACTTCATCCATAAGGTGTATAAAAAAGTAACCTTACTTACCCACTCAAGGGTATGTTTACATGATTACAGCGATGACAGCCTTTATGTTTTTGAAAACGATCCCTGTTCACACTGATCCACAACTACAATATTATGCACGTCAGGCCATTAGTTGGCAATGTCGCTTTGTAAAGAAACACCACATGCCTGTACATATAGACAGAAAACGTAATTCGTATGCGCATAATGTCACCATTTTTAAAAATGCATGTTTTTTTGTAGTCAGAGACGATGATGGTACTGTTTGAAAACTGTAGTCAAAGTCATGGGAACTCCTGAGGGGGCGACCCACTCCATGTAGAATAAAATAGATTTTTCTATAAGACTGGTAAGTCACGTGTCTGATCTCATGTGAGTTTACATGATTTAAATTATGTTTTTATGTGCACTTTTTAATTAGCAAAAACGCTGCGTGTACCTTTAAATCAGAAGCGCGTTGCTGAACCTTCAATGATGTTGGGCACTGACGGACGCTTCGTGCGCTGTCATTCGCCTCACATGACAGCAGTCTGGAGAGAGAGAGAGAGAGAGAGAGAGAGAGAGAGAGAGAGTATTTTACAGTGTAAGTCCTGTAGAGAGCGGTAGATCGTTTTATTAAATTGTTTTATACGCTCCCCGTGGTACTGTACATGAGTGAGACCGGGGAGGGAGGAGCGATCGTAATATTTCTCTTCATTTCAAATACCTGTCGTGGCAGCACGGGTAAGGCAGAGGGCTTTTCTCCCCTTCAAACCAAGGGGAAAACCCACCACCGAGAGCCTAGTGCACGTCCTAAAGAGCAAACGGAGGACTTTGGGTGGAGGAAACAGTAGTTTGAAGACACGCTGCGGTGGTATCGGCTCGCTGTGTGCACTAGTGTCTCCACACTTGCACTGGATACACGAAGCAGGACGTTTTCACTGATCTGCGACTC